TTGATGAAATTGAGAGAAAAGAAGGAAAAGGAGTTGACATTTTTCCATCTGAACCTGTCGTGCCATCTGAACTCCACGATGCACCGATGATCGAACGAGGCACGGCAGGAGGACATGAGGAACAACCTGAATCTGTTTGGGTTAATGGCAAAGAGCTTTCAAGAGAGAGCAAAGTTCGTGATTTGCAAGATGGTTGCAATTACCTTGGGATCAATGCTAGCGGGTCTAAAGCAAAGCTCTACGACAGGTTGTGTGCATATTTCAGCAAGCAATACCAGAAGGACATCGACAGAGCAGCAACACACCTACAGAAGCTTGAGAGAGGACCTGAAGTTCGAGTGCAAGAGAACAAGGCCGAAAGGCCATCTGATCCCAAAGAGATAGAGATGAGATGCATGAGGTGACGCATCTACCATTTGCTGCATGGTGCGAGGCATGTTTGGAAACAAAATCGAGAGAAGACCGGACAGTTCAGAACAAGGACGCAGAGGTTGAGGACCCTGGAGTGCCTCACATCCAGATGGACTGGATGTATCTGGGAAGAAGTTGCCCATCGTTGATTCTACTGGACACCACATCGAGGTACGGGGCAATCTTTCCTGCAAGGACAAAAGGAGTTTGGCGTGCCCTAGCAGAGTTCTGTGTGAAGTTCTCATTGGGGTTGAACTATCTTGGAGAGGTGGTGTATGTCATGGATTCAGAACCCGCGACTCTAGGTTTGCTTGATATGATTGTTATGATCAGACAGGCAATGGGCTACAAGACATTGAAGAAGGCTGGAAAGCCATACCACAAGGGACGCACAGCTAGAGTTGAGAGATACATTCAAACAGTCCGGAGACAGGCTTGCACATTGATGGCTTGCGTTGAGGATAACATTCATGAAGTGTTAGATGACCATCATTGTTTACGAGCTTGGGCATTGGTGCATTCGGTTTTCTTGTTGAACAGATTCCACGAACATGTTGCAATTAGAGCAACGGCCTTCGAGACAGTTTTTGGACAAAAGTATTCTGGAAAATTGGTCCCGTTTGGTGAGTTCGTGTTTGGTCTTCGACAGCCAATGAAGAAGCGTGGCACCAGTGTTTGGCAAGGGGGTGTATGGATTGGCAAGGATGAAAACGATATGCATGTACTCCTGACAGCTGGCGGACAGTTTCACACTCGGTCCATCAGAAGATGTTCTCATTCCTGGAGGCCAGATGTGATCCTTTCCTTGACCTCATATCCTTGGTCGAAACACAAGAGCTCAGGGCCAGTTGGAATCTTGGAGGCGCCCATGCCAGTGATCCAAGAAAGAACAGAAGGACCAGATCCTCGAGAACCTATTTTGTTGAAGACAGGTGAGGTTGATGAAGATGCGGAAGCGGTGCGTGATCAACAAGATGTTTCCTATGAGCCTACAGAAGTTGGTAGTGACCATGGACAAGGCGGAGGAAGACATGCATTGGTTGAAGAACCTCTCGAACGACTGTCAGATGTTCAGAGGAAGAGCCTTTTAGGAATTCCTGTGATCCCCAGCACTCCAACACAACAGATAGAAGTTGACCAAGAAGGACAACCTGGAGAGAAGAGAAACGCTGAAGAAGGTCCGGAGGAAGATCGAGACACCAAGGCGGCGAGGTTTGAGAGAGCAGACAGTCCGAGTTCAAGCCCAAAAGCTGGCTTGTATGCTCCTTTGTACGCAGGCGGCGTGAATCGAGTTGACATGCCACATGGAGATGTTTGCTGGGAGACAGAAATCGATTGGGAGTCGATAGAAGCTGAACTAGAGGATATTGAACCTGATGCCATGAAGATAGAGGTGCAAAAGCTGACAGAGATGGGAGTGGTTCAGGTGTTGGACGAACAGGATATGGATCCTTCAGGTAAGTTCATCGACTTGAAGGAGGCATATGACTGGCGGTTTCGTGAAGGTCGGTGGAAGAGAAGATGCAGGATAGTCGCCAGAGAGTTTCGTACAGGTCCAACAACAGATGAAACATTTTCCCCAACATCATCCTACTCTGTTGTGCGCTTGTTTCTGTTTTGTCACCTATTCTTTGGCTGGAAAGTGGCAAGTTTGGACATTTCAGATGCTTACTTGACAGTGACCCAAAAGGAAGTATGCTATGTGAAGATTTCAGATTGGATGAAAGAGCTCTTGCAGTTGCCGGAAAGTTCCTTGTGGCAACTGAAGCGTGTCCTCCCTGGACAACGGAATGGAGCTCAGAGATGGTTCCATGATTTTTCACGACATCTACAAGCATTGGGTTTTGTGTCATGTATAGCAATGCCTTCAGTGTTGAAGCACCAGTCGAGAAAGTTGGCCATCAACATACATGTCGATGACGAGTTGGTGGTAGGTGAAAAGTTGGAAGACATTGACTGGGTGATTGAGGAGTTGAAGAAAATTTATCGATTGCAGGTGGAAGGCCCAATTCCAAAAGAGCCATTAGGTAGTGGAGGAGAACTCAGCTATTTGAAAAAGGTCTATGTGTTCCAGCAAGACGGAATCTATGTGAGGCCCAATTCCAAATTCACGGACACTCTGATCAAACTGTACGGTTTGCAGGACAGGAAAGAGAAACAGGTGCCTGAACATGGTTTGCTTGGACGACCAGATACATCACCAGAACTGAGCAATGAGAGACAAGCAAGTTTTCGAACAGGTCTTGGCACAGCAATGTATATGTCTCATGAAAGGTTGGATATACAGCATTGTGTGAAAACATTGGCTGGATCAATGAGGACGCCAACAGAACAGGCAGAACGGTGCTTGATCCAACTTTGTTTGTATCTCAAGAACACAGCAGATTTGTCGTTTCGACTTCCGTACATACAAGTTGGCACACGTATGTCAGGCAGGTTGAACAACAGACCGGAGCATGAGATTGAAGATGGTGTTCATGTCATGGAGATTTTCTGTGATAGCGATTGGGCAGGCAATGTCAATAGGAGATCAACCACGTCAGTTGTGATTCTTTTGAATAGTTTGGTGGTTCTTTCCTACAGCAGGACCCAGAAGGCAGTTTCATTGTCTTCATGCGAAGCAGAGGTTTTGGCACTTACCTCAGGAGCAAGTGAAGCTATGTTGTTGAAAGAAGTTTGGATGTTTATGGTAGGACAAGAAACCTTGCTAGAAGCTCGCAGTGATTCCTCAAGTGGCAGACAGTGGCTGCAACGAGCAGGACTTGGAAGACTCAAACATATAGATGTACGACTTTGTTGGTTGCAACAGGCAGTTCACGACAAGATACTACAAGTGTTGCCAGTGTCAACCCAAGTCAATATAGCAGACCTCAACACAAAGAAACTCACAGCCTCGAGAAGACAGTTTCTCCTTTCGTTCATGGGTGCAGTTCGTTTGAACGACGAGAACGAAGTCATTGAAGAGATTGGAGAACGAGAACAAATGAACTATTTTTCTGAACAGCAGTGGAAGAACCAAGTTCGCCAAGTGAGCAGGTGGATGAAAAACAAGGCAGTGCGACAGATGGTGCAGTGTTCACTTTTTGTGCAGGCAATGAGCATGAAGGGTTGTGCTGAAGATGGAGCAAGTGTGAATGTCGAACAGGACAGTCAACAGCAGTTATATCTGACCTTATTGGTTTTGATGCTTGTGGCATTGTGCAATTGGGTCTACAACCATTGGAACGAGCTGGCGGCCAGATTTGGACCGCGAGGACGCAAGAGGAGAATGAGTGAACGAGATGAAGAAGAACCTGACCCAGAAGGAAGGCGTGAAGTGATTTCGAATGACAACATCGAACCAGGTACAAGCAGTTCAGCAGCACCAGCTACAGCAACAACAAATAGTGTTGAACCTCGTCCTCCACAGATCCCACCGATGCCAGCAGATCCTCCGGCTAGGTGGGAAGTTTGGTCACCCGAATGGTTCACGTACTGGATGCTAGGCAGAGTTCAACGACGGTTGGAAAGACGAGCTGGACGTATGACTGAACTCGAAAGAAAGAAGTATGAAAAGAGGAGAGAGATCTTGAGATCGACGTTGGCAATTCTAGAACAGAACCCTGGAGAAGTTGCACGACGACGTGCGCATTATTTTTGCCAGTCAATGACAGATCTTTCGGTTGATGATGAGAGCCCAAGGGCACCAGAAGTTCCAGAGTTACCAGAACCAGGTGCAGAACCCGAAGCAGGACTTGAAAGGTTGAATGAACGTATGGATGAATATGATGGGTATTTCAGGTCCAGTCGAGTTCCAGGACGAAGCATTGAGTCTTTGGTGGATGATCCTCAAGCCATCAATAGACCTGACAGAGACGAAGAAGGAGAAGACGAAGGTGGAGGAACAACAGATGCTGAGAGTGAAGACACCCGAGTCGCCAGGTACCTCAACAGTACATTGGATGAGGTGTCAGACCCCGAGATGTGGATGGGTATTCATCATTACTCATCAGATTCGAGCGATGTTGAGATGGAGGAAGGACCAGAGCAACCAAGTGGTTCGACGGGACATTGAGCAATGGAGCAATTTACAAGATTTTCAATTTGCAATGTACAATTTCAAGAGGGTAGGTTGTTGAAACCATCTGAACCGACAACTTACTCTATATACACGATTGTGCTTCCTGAAACCATCTGAACCAGGAGCACAAAGCACTACGAAAGTTGAGCATTGGACGTTTGATTTCAATGTGTGAGAATTTGTAAAGAATTTTATGGGAATGGCATTTACTTTGCCGGAACGATGTGTACAGGGTATGCATCACACAAAATGAGGCGGACTTTCCTGTGACCCTTTAGAAGACAAGGGTGCCTCATGACAAGGAAGGCGAACATAGCCTAAAATCGGCTAAGTCCGAGGCGGCGTGTCAAGATTTGTCATGTGTATAGGTGCACTGTTTGCTAGTTGAAACTACTCCATTCGACCGTAGCGCGTGTGGTCCAAAAGATCCGCTCACCTTGACACCATTACTACAATGCCATAAGACCTTGCCGTCCCTCTCCGGTTAGACCGGATTCCGGTCGATGCCCTCTCCCTCTTCGATGTCCAGGACTTTACCACGATGGCGGAAGCAATAAGTCAGAAAGATTTGATTTTCGTCCTGACGCGGTACCTGTCCATCATGACGCGCATCGTTGAAACCTTTGGAGGCCAGCGCGCATGCAAAAATTACGCGTACACGAATTGGGACCAGGGAAAAACGCGACGTGCGCGTGTTCGATGCATTCATCCACGGTCGCGACGAATCGTTGGCTTGGATGACTCGCTGGTTCACTTGCTGGTGTTGAGGTTTGGAGATTTGGATTGAGGATGAAGTGTTGGGTGGGGTTGTGTTTCAGTTTAGTCTAATTAGCCATTCAAAGTTGAAGGAGATCCTTTGTCTCCATGTGCATTGTTTGACCGGGAAGAGATCCTTTGGGTACCCAATCTCAACAGGTGATGAATATAAAACACCCTGGAGACCAGTACAAACCCATTCTATCACCACGGAAAAGCGAGTGAACTGTGCCTGTAATCCATCATATATATGATGGATACAAGGTCGTTGCGCCGCACTCCAGGCGTTGTGGCGGAAATCCTGGGCGACGGGCTCTTGGTCTACTGGAACACGCCCCACTATACCGAGGCCTGTCGTGGGGACGAACATGCAGGAACGAACACATCGTTTGGACAAGTCTGAAGGTTTGCACACGAAGGGGTTCAGATGCGCTCAGACGGGGTCTTGTCTCTTCGTGGCCTCCGCCCTCAAGGTCATGATTTGCAGATAGCGGTAGTTTTAGGTGTTTTTAGTTTTCGAGTACTCAATGACTGGGTGACTGAGATCGAAATTTCCTGCTGTTTGCTGCTGCGCTTTGTCCACAAACTTGTCTCCCAAGTTTGCCTCCCAACCTTGTCTCTCTGTCTAACGGCACGCAGCATGTGGTTTCGGGGGAAGTTGCTGCCACATAAGTTTTGAAGATTTCCCGGTCAGCCATCTCTGAGAATCCAACGACAACTGTTGGAGACCTTGGAAGATTCATATAATATATTTGTGCGCATTATACTAGGGAGACCCCCAACCAATGGGTATTTTATGGTCTTTTTATTTGTCCAGGGAGTCTTTGGAGGGTTTTCCTATTTTCATACACTGATACACACCCATATTGAGAAACCACTGCAGCTCCAACCGATCAGATGGACTCCATTTTTTCGGGACGGCTGTCAAGAATCTTTGACCAGGCTTTTTAAACCCCGCGGATTGAGTAAAATGTCATGCCCAGACGCTACGGTCACAGCCGCTTGGTCCCTCAAAAACCTAGATTGGTCGACCAAGACCCCTCCAGAGGATTCGGGTCCAGGCTCGTGTCTGGGTGCTGAAATTCATTTGGGCAGCTCGTTGTGATTCGACAGGACCATCCTATCAGGGCGTGTGCTGCTGCGCTGGCCATGCAACAGGCAGAGAGAGAGAGACCTGAAACAAATGCTGTCAAGTGTGGTACTGGCTTTGAAGGATGAAAGATGGCACAGGGAGCTTGAGGGGTCTTTGATTTTGCCCAGTGTGTCAAAAGATATTACACGTTTGGATCCGTGTGTCCCCTTGTCCAGGTCTCGCTGAAAGCTTCTATACAGTATATTATATATACACATATAATATACACCAGCTCAGATGGTGCAAAGCATCAGTTGGTAAAAACAATCTGATGTTTTGAGGTTTGGATGTTCAAAATGTCACACGTTTTTTTGTCAGAAACGCGTCCGCCGATCCAAAGATTGGAGGCTCTTGCACCTTTGAACTTCGAACTTTCAGAATGCGGATTGTCGGCCTTCCCCCTGTCTGCCGCTCGACTGGTTCAAATGGCTACAAAACCGTGGCGCTGATCCCAAATCATCCCACAAATACACCAAAGTTGGGGGTTCCCTTTGGCAGAAAGAAACACATGTCACAAGAAGAACATTGGTCCGGGACGTTGGTTTGGGTGAGGATACCGGCTACAGGATGGAGACCGGATTCGACGGAGCGGTTCGGTCAGTTGAACACGCCACCCGCGTAGTCCGGTTCATGACCGATGGCCGTAATCACAAGGGACTTCAACTAGGCCCAGCTTGGGATCTTTTCTGTCCCGGCTCCCCAATTTCATAAATCATGGTCTAAAGGTTCAGAAAAAACACGGATTTGGGAATATATTGGCTCAGTAGGTGTGAGCAGCGTGCATCATCGCTGACTTTTTTCCTCTCCCGCAGTCTGACGGTCTTATGTTCGTGGATTGAATCTCGTACTCCTCAGGGTTTTCCTGAGATGCTAAGCCGCTAAGCCCAATCCTTTAACTAGGCTTTCTCGGGGATCCAAAGGATTGGTTAAGCAATTCGAGAGCAAACAAACAAAACTGTAGCTGTAACTGAAGTAAGTACCCAGCGGCAATACAAGGAAAGATCCGCTCAACCTACCAAAGAGCATGAGGATCCTGATCTTGATGCAACTTAGTTGCCACTGCCCCAGTCTTATAACTATATAGGGTTGGGAATATAAACGTGTTTGTTTCTTGTCCATTCCTGGTTCACCTCTAGGTTGAGCAATTCCTATAGAGGAACGGCTGAACACTGTCACCTGTCAAAGAAGCACCAAATAAGCTTCAAAGGGAAATTAGACTAGGGGCTCCTGGCCGTACTACTAGGAGCAAGGACGCTGCTAGTAGCTCCTGGCATCGCTACTAGTAACAAGAAGCTACTAGGAACATTTGGTAAACATGTGTTCCAAACATTGGGGACATCACGCCAAACATCACCGAACAACACTGCCATCAGCCATCACCGACGGTGAGTGTGCTGAGTGCTGGCACGCACAAACTGCGAACACCACAAGCAGTAAGGGAAGTGAGCCACAGATGCTGTGTTTTTGCCGTTTGACATTAAACATTAATAAACTAACATCACAAAGACAATGGCAACAAAAAAGCAACAGGCTTTCTAGCTTTCTACTCTACTCCCTAGCGCAGCTCTGCTTCAACTCAGGATTGGTGTTTTGCCAAGAGCACGGTGTGCACACACACAAGCGAGGTTCAACTGGTGCCAGGTTCCTGCATAATCACCTCTCAATGAGACATCGAGAGAAGCATGTTGTTCACTGCTCACTCACTGGTTCACCATCACCGTCCCACGCCCTTGTGCGAAGAAGCAGCAAATGATGCCATGATAGTGCCTGGTTGAGGACCTTGATCATCAGTATCCTGGGCTAGTCGAGAAGTGCAGTGACAGTGCAAAGTTCTGCAAAGTTCAAGGTCATTTAAAGAAGTCCCGTCTCAGAGTCATCAGAACTTGAAAATTGAACTTTAGATGGTGGAACATTGAAACAGATTCCTGACTGCCAGCCTGCCCTGATCAATTAATTGGAATGTTGAACATGGGAATCGGAAACATCAGTATTGGTCAGTATCAACCTGGTCGTGGTCAACTGCTATGTCGGACCGAAGGACATCACCATGTTGAGCCCCAGAAATGTCAAGGATGATTTTGCCATATACCGTGGGCACCATTCTGTCTCTAGTTCAGTCACTGGAGCTGAAGCCATATCCTGAGTTTCAGGCCCTGGTTCTGTTCCAATTTCCTGCACAGTTTGCATGAATCCAGCCTAATCATCCTCTTCAACATGTTGGGCGAAAACAAGGTGTCCGAGCCTCAGAACTTCAGCACCCCCGAACACCCACACTCCACATCTTGCCGGTCTCCTTTGGAAGAAGTACGACAATGTTTCTTCACACCACAGCTTACAGAGAAGAACGTCACTGGTCAGTCCGTGCACTCAAATGATGCAACTCTGTGCCCTGACCAGGAGCGAAACCACCTCTGCAGCTGCAGCTAGGTCATCTTGGCGCCTCTCTCCAGGCCATAGCCGTTTCCAGGCCATTCTCCCTTCCGGATCTTCAGTCCAATTTGGTCAAATCTTGGGAATCCGTTCTCCTCGGACTCCTTTTTTCTTTGCACTGGTAGTGCAAAGGGCCTTGAGATTCTACTCCAGCAATGCGCTTCCTTCGAATGTCGTCCCTCGGCATTCTGTTCACTGGTGAACGCGATAGCACTGGTGTTGCTGGAATTGGAGGCGCTACAACACCCTTGGTCACATGTGTCGAATTGGTTTTGCAGACTGGTGAGCTATTGTGCTGTTCGCAGCTGCAACAGCCCAGACTCTTCCAACTGTCGTTTCAGTTCTGCGGTCTTTTTTGTTTGCTCGTCTTGCTCTGTATCTTCTGTAGTCGAGAACTCCTTGAGGTCCGGTTTCCCAAAGGCTCCCAGATTGAGAAAACAAAATCGAGATTGACAAGTTCAATCGAGACATGAAATGTGCTCAAATTAACGGATTTCTATCAAAAACACTTTTTGAGAAAAGCAATACTGTTCAAGCATTAAAGTCAATTGAACATAGGCTTCAAAGTTCAATCACATGTTTGAACAAATCAATCGATATTACAGTATGAAATCTTGCTATAGTGTATGGATACATCTAGAGGATTGCAAAGGGGCCCAGCTACATCAAAGAGTGTAAATAAGGGGCTTTCCCGCCCACATAAGGTATGCATCCCAAAATTGTGCCTGAATGGGGCTATCCAGCCCAAACTTTCAAGATGCAATGCAGGAAGTTGTTTCATTTCCTGCCATGGCCGAGCTGCTGGCTTCCAGCCATGTGAAGATTGAGAGAGGTGCGTATCTGGACATTCCACCTCAAATTGATAAACCAACTCAGGGTGTTGCAACACCAAAATTAGTATTTTGCATCTTCACCTTCCTTCGACTCTGTCTCATCTTCAGAGCTCTCATCCAAGGATTCTTCAGGAGGGACAAGGATCTGGCTGTCACACCCTTCCAAGAAACCTCGTTCCTGGTAGTGGGTTGGAAGTGTTTGTTCCTTTGACATACCTGTCAGTCTTTCTCCTCTTGGGCACAGGTCCTGCCAAAAACTGCATAAGTGCTTTGAACCAAGAGCTACTTGCGTATTACAGCCATCGGCTCTCCAGCCCAAGTATGCACCAGGCACTCCAGCCCAAACATAAAAGTGTGAAGACTGAAAGAAACAGCCTCAAAGACACCTTTTTGTAGAGCTCAATAGTCAAGAGCACTTAAGTCCAGTTGGCCACTCAGCAAGCAAATGGTAGTTCAAATTTATGCACATTGGCATATATAAATGATTCTGGGCCATAGCACCAAGTGGCCCTTGGAGCCAAGGCTTTGCATTGGTCTATGTATTTGCAAGCCAGCGTGATGCCAAAGTGTCTGCTTCATTGCATGTTTGGCTAGCCAGCCATAGTTCCCCAGAAAGCTCTCACAGCTTTTCTTGAACTTCTTGTAGTCAGAGGGGTTGAAGACATATGATGGGGAGTCTGCCAGGTCATAGGACACATCCATGACTTTCACAGCCTCGAATCTTTTTTGGCCGCAAGCAGTGTCAGTGTGATGGCTGGCCAGCTCTACAGCAACCTTGCTGAAATACTTCTCTCTTCTGCCTCAAAGGCAGTTTTGAAGCAGGGGTATTCATCACCTCCTTGGCTGCCTGTCACTCAGATTCGATCTTTGAGTCCTGGCATGCTGCCCAACTCCTTCCGCAGGCTTGGTCCTGCTTCCAGGACGCCAGGTTGTTGAGATCATTCAGCCTGGCTTGTTTGTATTGGCCCTAGGATGTGGTCCTCCAATAAATCCCAGACCATGTTGCTAAAGACATGGAAGTGGAGCTGGGGTGATGCCACTCACAGCCATCAATGGGTGGTTCACTTCAGGCATGTTTTTGGTCTTTCTCCAGGCAGCTTCATTCCTGCAAGGCGCATGTGCGTGTCACATATGATGCAAGGCAATGGAAAAAAACACCCACAACACGTTTTGGTGCTCAGCAGCTTTTCATGAATCCCAGGTTCCCTACCTGAAGTCAGTGAAAGGGGCTTCATTGCAGCCAAAGTTGTTTGTGCAGCTGCAGTATGGGGCCAAACATTTTGCTATCCAAGCCAGCCCATTGTTTTACCCACACTTTCTGCTGTCCAGCACCTCAGGCTCTTACAACCTGCCCTTGGCCTCTCTGACTTCAGCATAGGACTTGCCATTCTCGAACATTTTCAAGAGTTTGGCAGCAGCTTTATTCTTCTCATGGTTATGGAATTTGGTGAACGCCACCACCTGCTTGCCACAGACCAATTCTTTTTTCATTGTAGGGCATGCATGAGTTTCCACCCACTACCACCTCCAGAAGCAGGTTTATATATTCATCACTTGGACACTGGCTTCTTCATGGCCGCTGCTGGTCCTGCTTGCAGTTTTTTTTCATGGCAGCCCTCACCTTGCTTCCTGGGTGGCACTGGGCTTTCTGCCAAAGCACCCAAGCAAGCAGAACTGGCACAAGATTCCTACAGCTCTTTCCAGCTTGGCTTTGCAGGCACTGGTGCATGCTTTGGAGTTTTTGCAGGTGGATGCTTCACAGCTTCTTCTGCCCACGGAGGTCAACATTGTGTGCTGTGAGGCTTCGAAGCTGCTCCAGCCTTCTGCATGTTTGATTTGAATTTAGGGTCATCTTTAAGGCGTCTAGCCTGGCCATTCTTCCAGGCAATAGCTGGTGCTCTCTCAGCTCAAACCTGGCTTTCATGCATGGGTCCTGCAGCAGTATTGCGTCGAACACCTGCTTCAAGTCACAATGCTTGAAAAGCAGGCTTGGGGGAACCTTGCTCAACTCCCGGAGCAGGCCAAGCTGCTCAGCCAAATCATTTCCCAGGATTGCTTGTTGCTTCTGCACTTTCTCATACATGCCAAACTGGAACGCAAATCCCAAGCCATGGTTTTTCCTTCAGCCACTCACACCAGCCAGGTGCTCTATGTCCACAGCATCTGTTTTTGTTCTCATGCCTTTTGCAGGCAGGCTACAACTGGGCTTCTGGGTGCTCAACTCCTACAATGTTTTCAAACAGGACAGCGAACATTTGCACAATTTAAGGGGCCATCCAGCCCAAACAAGCCTCTATCCAGCTCTAAGAGCAGTATTAACCCACACAAACTGCACATACAAAGATGTATATAGACGGGGCTGTCCTGCAAAAAATCAATCGAACACACGTTCTTAAAATCAATGGAACATTTGGTTAAGATTCAACAGAAAACTTGGTTTTATCGATTTTGACTTCTGCGCATGCAGTTTTCAATTCAATTTTGTTTGTAAAAAGCAATAAACATATTTTTGTTCAATCGAGGAGCCTCTGGGTTGGCTTTCGCCAAAGATTCTTACAGCTCTTTGAGATCCCGATGTAGACTTCCTCTTCGTTAATTCGATGAAGTTCTAGACCTTCCAGAAAGTCGTTGAATGCTGGCTTCCTTTTCTTGATGGCTGTCTTGATCTTCTCGATCTTCACAACAAGCCTCCTTTTGGCATCCAAAGTCCTGTGGTGCCCCAGGATCTCCTCTAAGCCATCGTCTTGGATGACCTCCTTTATCTCCGCTGTCGGCCCGTCGGCTTGAAAATTTCTTTTACACCAAGCCTTTGATCATCGACCTGAGCCCTTCCTCTTCCTTGGATTCGGATGCCGATGATGATGAGGATGATTAAAAAAAAAAATCCTTGTAAGCAGGAAAGACCTTTGCTTTGTATCTTGCTTCTTGTTTGCCTCCTGCTTCTTGGTCGGTCGAGGCCACACTTCCCTTCCATGCCGGCTTGCCTTTTCTATACCCCTTCCCTTTGGGGTTCCGCGTCATCTGCTGCACCTTTTCCGTTCTTTGTCAGCTATGATGCAGTGCAAGCCTAGCCAGCGCAAAAGTAGCTCGCTTGTTGAACTGTCCTTTCAAGAGAGCCTTTTGGGCCTCGCAGTACTTGCGCCTCTGCCGCGCCTCTGCGCGTGCAGCCCCGTATTCTGCATCAATGGCAGCCGCCGCACAGGAAAGCGAACCTGCTTGGTTCGGTTCTTGGGTTCCGGGCGTTTCCTCACCTGCAGTATACCCAAAAGAGCACTGCAACTGAATAATGGGGCAAACAAATTGTTCGAGGTTGTTGTTTCATGTTGTGTGTGTGTCTTTCCTGCGACCCTGTCCACGAGGATGGCGGAACCATGGTTCGGGCGGAACGGAAAAAAGAGAGGGTCACCCGGTCTGAAATCCAAAAACGAAGATCGTTCAGCCCAAGGTGCGCATTGGCATCAATTCAGGGGAAGTGCTCTCCGGCACCTTTGGATCTGATCGGATGCTTGGGAACTAAGGACAGGAGAAGGACGGAGTGCGCGTTCCTGGGGGCCCTTCGGTCCGGCTGCAATCAGCTGCAAAGTGCCCTTTTGTGACGGGTTCATGTAGTATATTACTTGATCTCCATTCGCGAACAGTTCGGGAAGCTGACAGGTTTTATGTGGAGCAAGGAGCTTCAGGTTGAAAGCATGGTTTTACTGAGTGGCATTCGGCGGTGTTCAGGTCGTTTCAGTCCGCTTTTTGGAGGAGATGGACCAATTGGAGGGTTTTTGTGCCTATTGTTTGGGTGGTGAGATGAAACTTCATCCAAATTGCAGTTGGTTTTTCATCCTACTTCTTTGGCAGGGGCGGGGTCTAAAGTTGGTATTGAAGCTGTCCAGCCATGTTGAAGAATAAAGGTCTTGTAGAACTTATAGGAATAGACAGGTCAGGTTGAAGCCTGCGGGTGACAAACCCGGCTACTATTATATTGTTTCAAACGTATGTAAACATTGCATGTATATCCGTTCTGTGAGTTGTACCATTAACATCCTCTGACCACAGACTTGCCTGTGCCTGTATCATTCAGGCGTGGATTTGGGTCAAATTCCCACGAGCCCCACCCAAAGATTCGATGCGGAAGTCCGTACGACCATCCCAACCGACTATCTCTTAGAGAAACTGACCTGTTGTAGCTTACAGTCTTACAGCGGCTAGACTGGCTTCTCACCAGGTCGTTCAGAAGTCCCCAACAGCAGTCACTCTTGAGGCGACAGGAAGAACATGGAAGAACGTTCTTCCCAAGTCCATGTCCTTCCTTAGGAAGATGAAGTTCGGTTGCATGGGCGACCCTGTCAATCTGGCGAGTCGACTGGAAAATGTGTGCAAGGCACCGAACGTATCCGTTCGCCGTTCGCCGACGCATCCGTAAGGACGTCGCCGACTCGGCTTTGGTCGGCTGTTCGGGCACGCCTGGTTACTTAAATACGTCTAGGTATCTGGTTGGGGCCTGGATTTGGGGGCTGTGCGGGCTGTGGATTACGCGTTTTTGGACTACCTTACGGTTTGCGTACCGGGGCGCCTGAGCTCAAAAGTGGTCGGCGGGGGATGCAAAGCTCACAGAGTTGATTGAAAAGGGGGTCACGTTTGGAAAGAGATCTTTGAGAGTCAATTGGAAAGCCATCTTGAGAGATTGCCTGCCATAGAAGTGTCAAGCGTGGAGAGGAAGAACCGAACAAGAGTCATACGATATCACAAGATGACATCTCGCATGCTTTGCTTGCGCGGATGTTGTGTCACTGGTAGGCGTATGGCGTGGGCATCATTATCTCTGGCATCACCTATGATGCTCGTTGGGCATTTGCTGCAAAAGCATTGCATGGCCATGGCCATGATTGTCTTTGGAAGAGAAGTGGTGTGTTGGGGAGAAAAGCTTTGATCGAAAGTCCGGGGGAAAGCAAGCTCATGAACTCAAGCTCCGACAAAGCGATCCCCGCCAAATATGACGTCGTCCAGTAATGCTGGAGTCCCCTTTGTTCTTCATGACCAGGAAGAGATCCCCAACAATCCATGATAATCCATGTATAGAATATATCATAATTGTATTATATGTATATGTACGACACTGACCATCGTTGACCCTTAAATCATTTAGACCCCAATGTTGGCAAATAGTCCATGTACGATTGTTTGGGGATGGCAAGCTCGCGCGTCTTGTGAGTTCATATTCGGGATGCATGTTCGATCGAAGGTCGCACCATGTCCCCACATGCGGCTTGAAAAAAACAAAAGTGGCCCTGGTTCCACAAAACATTTGCCTTGTTCTTGAGCACAGACTGACGCGTTGACGGGTTCGCCATTGGTACTGGTCTGATCCAAGAGACGAGGATCCAAGGATCAAGAGTCAGGCATATCATGGTTGCAGGCGGTAGTGCGGATTCAACAGAAGGCAGTGTGTAGGCATGTTCAATACACAAGTCATGGAACATAACACAGACCAAACATGCTATCTGAGGACGCGATCGCGGATTTCAGTTTCATTACCAGAAAGCTGGACATGGTTCAGGTCGCTTGGACATGCTTGGACTGGGCAAAGAGATGCTCTTATCGGGGTCCGTTCGGTCCACGCGTTCGGTCAAACGTGGTCGTTCAAACGTGGTCGGTGCGGGTGCGGGGTGCCATTGGGACTTGAGCACTGGGATGAGGCCTCGAAGCGGACTCTGTGGAGGTACATTGAACATGCCTCGGGTACCGTTTGATACACAAAAAAGTGTCCACTTAGAAGTAAGAATCAGCCAGTCAAAACAGCATTTCCTCCATTGGGAACCAATACTTCCTCCTGCATCCTTTAGGGTCAAGATGGAGAGGTTTGAGGTAGACCCTGACCTGTCCCTCCCTCAGAGTCAGAAAATTGCTCTGAGAGTGGGTCTTCGTCCGCGAGCAATAGTGGTTCGGTGGAAGAGAACCTGGCCTTCGAGATCGCATTTCAGGAGCAAGCCCTTGCCTCATGTTATATCATGTTGCTCAACGTCCACATATGATCCATCCCTGGGGTGATGCAATTCTTTTCCACAAAGCCAACGAATTGGAACATGGCACCGCAGCTGAGCAGGGCCCAGATCGAGCATGTCTCTGGTTGGGGCCATGAGATGACTGAGAAGACGGGATCCAAAGATGCATTTTAGTTCAATGTGTTGAAGTTGAAGTTGTTCTTCTATTGGTGTTGCCAAGCGTGAAGGAACTTGCACCATCTTTATTTAAGCAGCTCTGCCGCTGGTGAGACAGATGGCACAGGCTGGACTTCGCTGGACCTTGACGTCTGACTGGCACTGATAGTCAAGGTCGCTGCTATCTGGCCAGGTGAAGTTGGTGGCTGCATGTGACCATGCATGTGGCCCCTTGAAGTTCCTGCTGCCCAACTCCAAGCCTGAACAGTCAGACCCTTATACACATATTGTTGAAGTTCCAGGTGAGGTGAACATAGTTGAAGTTGAGCACAGTAACACAGTTGATCCTAAGGCTGTATTTGGACATGGAGGAGCGCACTTTTGATGGGTTGGCAACATCATCCTGTACGCAGGCGGATTTCCATGCCAACCGAAGCCTTGACAAAGCTTAAGTTGCGTTTGTCTTGATGTCTTGAAAGCCACTTGCTTGTCACACTGCCCTCACTCACTTCGCTAGCGAGCTGAGGTTTCCAAGGCTTCGCTTGCATTCTGTAAAATGGGATGAACGAGAAGGGAAGATTCTGGGTATTTGCACCGAAGCAATGGGCAGGACAAAGCCCGCGCAAAGTTGCATTGAGGCTTGAAGAGGAGTGGGGAAAAAGCTTTTGCGACTGCTTCCCACTCTTTCATGCACTTATGTTCACAGAACATGGACATGTGGCGCATAGTTAGAAGTGTATGCATGTGTGCTTCTTTGATATTTACAGTTCTGCCGGGTAGCTGCATGACCTCGTTAACATAGACCACATCAAATCATTTACTAAATTGAGTTGAACTTGGTCAACCACACACAGAGCTGCGCACATCAACCACATACCAAAAATAATACAACATGACTCAACATGACTGTATTTTCGTTTTACAACATAGCTTCCATGAAGCGCTATGATGTCCCGAGCAGCTCTTCATCTTCAACGTCTGCTAGCAAGAGGCAGCGCCAGGCCTCTTCTTCCTCTTCTTCCTCTTCTTATTCACCATCATCCTCAGCCAGTGGCAGTGGCACTGATGACACAGATGATTGTGGGGGCCCAGTGACAGGACGGAGTGAGCTGTTGATGGCAACCTTGCAAATGTTTCCAGGCGAAACTGTTGGTGAGGAGAATGACCCACATGCGGCAGCAAATGGAAAGAATACCAAGCGCATTGAGAAGTTGTTGAAGCAAAACCTTTGCAAGTGCAAAAGGAACGGTAGACAGTTCTAGTTACGCGCACTGTGTTTTGGACCTATCCAAAGCTGCGCAAGACTATGTGCTCTGGGGGATCCAGCAGAGCACAGGGTGCACTGCGAAGCCTTGCAGGGCATCTGGCAATAGCGATGGTTCTGACAGTGATGGTGATTCCAGCTCAAGTTCATCTACTCTGGAACGGACAATGTCACCCTGGTTCATTGAAGGCAGGGCTTCAGCTTGTTTCATTTGAGCTGCAAACAATCTCAACTTCCAACACCTTGCATTTGCCATACTCAGGAGTTCAGGTATGCAGGGAGGCTTTTTGCAAGCTGATGGGCATATCTTCATGCAGGTTGGTGCTTACTCACCGTTTCTTCCAAGGAGAAGACCAGCGCAGAAGTACAGTAACTCACTTGCAACCCATCTAGCTTGTTTTCTACAGTACATGTCTTTGTTATCTTGTTGAAGTGTGTCTTGACAAACTGGCAGCCTGGCAGGCAACGCTGCAAAGCGCACTGCTCATGCAGCTGCCTCAGTCGAATCTTTCTGCGAGCGAATGTATTGGTCTGTGGGTGAGACCCTTCCACATGAGAAACTTGGCTGTCTGTGTGAAGCTGTGTCTTTAACCAAGTTCCAACTTGGGGGTATACACCAAGCCTGCTAGGCTTAAAAAACTCATGATCCTGGACGACACCTTGCAACAGAACCTGACAGGGAGCGACTATTGCAACTTCTGGTTGCGCGCGACGCTACCTCCCTCCAGGCTGCTTTGCAGATCTCTACCACCTGTATGTATCCTTTCAGAGGTCCAAACACATGGACGTCGCGTCACCAACAAGCTTCTATAGGGTTTTGAAGGTATCTGGCTGGCTCAAAGTTTTAAAGTTCAAAAAAGTTCAGACCGAAAATTACTGACTCAGGTTGCACCATTTGCCAGAAATTGAAGGCAAGGTTGAAACATTCAAAGGACATCGGCGCCCATGCAAAAAAATTCGGACTTGTTGATGCGCCACCTTCAACACGCAAGGACCTGGCCGCCCTGATTCGCCCTTCATGCGAAGTGGCAGCCAGCCTGGTACACGGCAGGCTCATTTATGCTGCCATCGCTGGTGAAGGAGAGGCAACTGGATCTTCTTGGGTGCTTGGGGTGGTCAGCCGCTCATTTATCCTAGCTTTCCAGCAAGCCCAACAGCAGGGGTATCAATGGCCTCAAGTCCTCCAGTACTTGCAGACAATACTCCTAAAGAAGCTTATTTTTCTTCAGGAACAAGTGTTTTGTTTGTTTCCACTCTTGGCTGGGACTGTGCAATCCACGAGTTTCCATGTATGGAAGTGAAAACGGTGTCTTTTGAACATGAGCAAGCTCTATGCGCGGTATCTCTGCATTTGCCCAGATCTCCCGCGAGCACCTCTGTGTAGGCCATGCGCGTGAAGGTGTTGGCACCTTGGATGCGCTTCTTTGCAGCTTTGCCTTCCAATTTGTTGTCACTTTTGCCATGCCTACTTTTGTTCTGTTGATCTTCTAAGATGCCTTCTTTGGCCTCCTCACAAAGTTTGTTCGGCGTGGTGATGATGCAGTGTCTCATGGCCACAAATATATTCCTATTCAAGAACCATGCCATGTCCAGAAACTGTCACTTGTACCCTCCTAGAAGCTGAGGCAAACACCCCTGGACATCAAAGCGTTCCAGCCTCAATTGCTCACAACCGGCATACAGCCACCCATTGGTTTCAAGAAACTCTTGCGCAGGTTGCTTTGATTTGTGGAATCCTTGATTGTACTTAGGCTATTTCTTCAAGGTGTGGCGCCCATCTTTCTAGAGGAAGGAATCGACTAACCGACTTCCATGTGGACTACATCCATGCAGTTCGGAACTGGAAATCGGCCCTTCCGGCCATTTGGAAGTGTAGTTTCCTCATTCTTTTTAGATTCTTGGTAGGAGCATGCTGTCCGCATGCGATCGCTCAATCACTCTTTTGTTTTTCTTATATAATCACGCGAAGCTGTTTTATTCTTTCTAAAGGAAGCATGAGAAAGACGGAGTGAAACAGGTGACCACCATTTGAACCGTGGCGCGCAAAAAATATGTTTTCCGGGTTTTTCCACTCAAATGGTGGGAGGGTGAGAGCAGCGCAATGCATGTTGTCACCCGCCCTGTAGACCCCCCGTTCACGGCAACGTCTCTGCCTCTTGCTGACGTGTTTTTCCGTTGATGCCACAGCTGACCTTGGTGTCTGCTGATCTTGCTGCTCGATTGGCAGTTCCTGCTCTGAATAGTTTTCGAACGTTTGTCACATTTGGGAGCAGATCTTGACGCCTTCTTTTGTTTACCCTCAACTTCGCAGCATCGAAGCTGCACTGTTGCACGCACTCGCCCGTTGAGTGTTCCAGCTCTTGCTTCAGTTGATCAGATGACTTTGTGCTTTCCGTCTTGTGAAACGAAACGATGTCACTGTGTGAAGAAGGTTAGGGATTGAGTCAAGAATCTCAAAAGGTGTGGCTGACTTGGCTGGGGCATACCGCAAGAGATCCAAGGGTGATACAAACATCATTCCCCACTCGTTCGCTTTCTTACAGCGGATCCGCTTCTTGTCTCAATACAGACTTCAATGAATGAATGAACGGCAGAATGACCAAGTGGTTGCTGTGTGGCTCTGTGCGAAAGCACGCCAATGACTAGTCCACAGCCGAGGCATGCCTTCCACATTACTCGAGGATGTAAAACAAAGACTGCCTCGAAGGTTTCAACAGCGATCCAATGATATTTTTTGTTTGGTGAAAGCCTTTGTGAGCGACAAGGGCTTCTCACAGTCTGCACTTCTTGTGCTCCCTGGAGACACTGTGGAAGAGGCAGTGAGTCCAGCTCTTGAAGCAATTGCTAACGCTGACTGCCCCAGACCCTTGCTTAAACTAATTTGTTATCTATTTTCCATTTACTACCTCTCATGGTGATTGGTGATTTGCATCCCTGCTTGAGTCAATCAGTCAGCTGATCAGCTGAGGGACCGCGCGCTACCTGGATGATGAGCGCAAGGATGTCCTGGCTTTCCACAAAATGGCCGTGGAGTGCGCTTTTTGAGGATGTTACAGGGAGATAAAAGACCCTCCTGAATTGGATTTCATTGGGGTTGGAAACAATGGTCCAATCCAGCGTGGAAGTGTGGTGCTCACCCAGCCTGAACCCCACATGGGTTCATCAGCTGGAAGTCAGATTTGCCAGGTATCATTGAACAAAACATGGCCGGCCTTCAGTATGCTTTCAATGCTGCATCATTGAAAGCTTTGTTCTTGCAGAGCTTGCATTGTTGAACGCCTGCAGCAGGTGAGGCGTCGAGCAAAGCACGGCTGCAGGAAGGTGAGGTGTGGAGCAAAGCACGGCCTGCTGCTAGGTTAGACTTCTCTGCAGTGTGCCATGGCATTACCTGTTCCAATTCCTTGAGCAGTGAAGGCGTGGCGCATTCAGTTCGAACGCATTCTGATTTCTGAGGGTGTCATTTCAGGCCAGCGATATGTTTTCAATCCATTCCCCAATGACAGGAAGAGGATGGAGAAAAAAAGCCCGAGATGCACCAGACCTCTTTGAAGCAAAGGCTTCTGGACCATGTCGATCAGGTGGGGCACAAGCATTTCAAGAAATGAACTTAGACACAGTCATAGATTCAATGTTGCATCAAACCATATCAAACTGAACGACAGGTGTCAGCTACTATGAACATTGGCCACTTCATCTACGAGCACCATGGACAACTTGAGGGAAAACGACTACAGTTTGCCAAGGTTCTAGTTGGCGCCCAACAAATATATGGAATCTATGTGTGAATTGCGCACTTAAGATTTTGATGCCTGGTCTCCATTAATTTTGAAGGCTATGGCTGACATCTTCAGTCTTCCAGAAGTGGCAGCACACATCCCCAGAGAAACTGGGCCTGTGCTGAAGAGTGTGCCAGCATCTGCCAGGGCCAACGTCTATGGGTACAGGTCTGAATCTGAAGCCTTGGAACTCAAATTCCATCAAGCTGCTGGGGAGACCATTGACTACTTCTCCATCAAATATACTAATGGTCACTGCAAAGGCATGATGCGCCAGACCATCTTGGCCCTAGTGGTGCACATGGCTACTTGGCTACATGGTGATTCATTGGTTTTGTTTCAAGGATTTAGTAGCCAAAACAATGTTTGTTCACCCAAACTCAGGGTCTATCCCCAGAAGACGTCGCCGCGGATGAAGACTTTTCAAAGCTGCTTGCATCTTTGAAGTATTTGCCCGCGCTCCCCATGATGCTCCTATGAGACCTTGTGCTGCTCAACTTAGTTTCACGCACTTGATACCTATTGTTTTTGATGGCTGAGCTTACCCGACATTGGTTCGGGTGGACCTTAAGCGTTGCCGCGCTTGGACGCAAGACAGTGGAGCTGCCCGTGCAGTCCTTCTGGGCTCCTTTTGGAGTCCGGCCACCCGCGCGGCTGCTAAGGCATGAGGACCAGCAGTGTCCTTTTTGTGAGACTCACGTTGGAATCCTTCATCATGTCATGTGGGGATGCTCGCACTATTCGAGACCTCCTGAACTTGAACATCTAGATATTCACTGACCTTTTGCGTCTTGGTTGGATCGTTCAAGAGGACATCTCGGAGCGGTGTTTGTCACATATGATGCATACCGTCCGGAAAATCTGGGAGCTTCGGTATCTCCGTTAAACTTCCCTTCTTGGTGAAATTCTGCTTTCAGGGTGGGGCGCTCCCGCCTGAACCACTTAGGGTTCTTGGGAGACTTAGGTGACCCGTGCGCGCGCTGATGCTTTTCAGCGGCTCTGCTGGCGGCTGCTTGGGCGGCCGGCTCTTCCTTATGGCGCTCTTCGCTTGCTGGATGCTGCGATGGCGCCTTCCGGAGCTGTTCGCGACACAAGGGCGGCTGCTCAATAACGACTACTACTACTACTACTACTACTACTACTACTACTACTTGACATTGCATTGATATACCTTTGCCCCTTCCAATTGAGGCACCGTGCATCGCACAAGCGAGAAGCAGAAACCAGGGCCACTCCTGGGCTTGTTGTTCAAGGAGGTGATCCGTGTGGATGATTTGGCAAGTGTCTTTCCATGTCTTCATATTCACATTTTGCAGTAACTTCATGTCCCCATTTTGTGTCAGGCATGGAGGATCACTGACTCCAGGTCCAGCCAAAAAGGGTTGGCCTCCAACCGATGCGCACATGGGCATGGAAATCAGGAAAAATGCACTTGCATGCATGGGAACACACGAAACCATTTCTTTGGACCTGGCTACACGTCCAAGTCACCATGCATGAGGCCCATAGCGCACTGTGCGGAAAGCAGCCCCACGCAGGTCCTCCTGCAAAGAGGCCCTCGCAACCCTGCGGTCCTGCTGCAAAAGAAAATAATTGCAAAAGCTGTCTCCAATGGAGCGTTTTCATTGCAAAAAGGTTACACTGTTTGTGTTGAAAGTTTTTCCACGTGTCTAAGACCGGCTCAGGTATCTGAAAAAGATGCGCGCTGTATCGCAGAAGCTTTTTGGGACGAGTTTTCTCCATTTTTGAGTACCCTACCTCCAAGTGCAAAATTCATCGTTTCAGCTGCTACTCTGTCAAAGACTGGGCATGAGAACCGGCTGACAGATTCTTGCATTTCCAAGTTTGGTTTGTCTGCTGATGTTGAGACAAGCTTTCTGGGTATTGGTCTGACAGAGGGGTCGCTCTTGGGGGCGATGGGTCCCAATAGCATTGCACTTTGACGAGGAGACTTGGCAACCGATTGTTGGACAGGGCGCCCGCAAACGCAAAGGGTCGTCGGAAGATCCTGGTGTGAACTTTCTTGGGTCTTGCTTGACAACTCGCTTTCTATGGAGTGTTATGCTGGCAAGGGGTTACAATGACAAGAAAACCAAGACCTGGCCTTTGACAAACCTGGAGTTACGCGTTTGTTTTTGGTACCGATTTGCATGAAGGGCGACTGGCCTGCGCTGGTCAAGATTGGAGAATTGACGCGCCACTTTGGTTGCAGGTCTGATTCGATGCCCGGGAACATGTCAGGCAGACATGGCCAACCACAGAGATACCGGCGTCTGGTTGACTGGGGCACCATGGCCGCTATGAAAAAGTCTGCGCCCTTGCCTTGGAGGCAGGAACCAAGTTTGGTTGCTCCTGTGCCGATGAAGGATTGCTACACGCCGTCCTTTTTCGTATTATATTGCACAAGGACTTCATGGGTGACATCGCAGCAAATGCCGTAGCGGCTTGCAGTTCACGTGTAAGGTTGCGCGGCAATATATATATATATTTTTTGTTGATTTGTTTGTTCGAGAGCTAACTGTTTGAAGACTTTTTAGCATTCGCTAGCTAATGTTTGCCTACCCTGGTGACTTCCAAGCCCAGTGTGATGCTTTGCTCGCTGAGCTCAAGGAGCACTGCTTCTCAAAAGCTACAGCTTCCCCATCTTACTAGGACTGGGACACTGCTTGGGTTCAGCCGTTCGGGCGAATACCCCTCGGCGACACTTTGCTCGTTCTAGGTACACCTTTTATCATATAATTGGACGGTTCGGTTGCTTGCCAAAGTTATTTTGGGGAAACCTGTGTTTGTAAGGTCGCGGTTCACAAAGGAGCGGATACGGTGAGTTGCTACGCTTTCTGAAGCAAGGGCTGCGATCTTCGTTGGGAGAAGTTGCTGGGACTGCCCGTCCTTTCTTTGAGGACATGCTCTCTGCATTTTGTGGCGCAAATAGGTTTATGCAGTGCCTCTACCATTGCGCCTGAAGACACGCGTGTTCCTTTGGACTCAGGTCATGCATGTGTGTGTGTGTGTGCGTTCCAGCGTTGCGCCAACGCTGCGTACAGCTCCGGCTTGACAAGGTTCAAGTACCCACCCAAATTGCGCATGTTTGGAGAAGTTTTGATTAGATTGGTTTGGAGGCTGAACAGCGACAGAACCGACCGTCGCAAAGCCCCCTGGCATCCTGCATGCAATTAGACAAGGATTTTATCGGCAAGGTCTCGGCCTTCAGTCATACTGTTTCAGTGCGAACTGTCCACGCCAGGACCCCCACAGCCGTTTTAAAATAGCCCTGTTGCAGCACTTGTGACTCCTTGATCAAACCTATATCAAATAGAAAAAAGCACACATGATTATAGTGCTCAGCTAATGCATTCCCACTCACCCACCATGAAGATTTGGACGATGGCGGGCTTTACGACAGTCGCGGCTATGAACAAAACCAGGAGATGGGATGGCTGGCGGGCTGGGACTGTGCTAGGGTGGTGGTCTTAGTGTAAAAAGCAAGGTCGATAATTAACTTCCATGAAGAGCTAAAAACCAGTGGCAGGTTCAGGCACGAATAATCGTACACAGTGTGCTGGTGCATTATTTTGATAGCGCACCTGGTGTTCTAGGTTTTTGTTTTCAGGAATGCATTCGAGCACAAAACCATGAAGCACACAAAAAAACACGAAAGCGACCAAAGAACATGAAAACAAACATAAATCAACTCAAACACATTTTCAGGTACCACTGGGGAGTCTAGGTGTAATTGGAACTCGAAATGCAATGCACCAGGTCAGATTCCACTGAGTGTGCGAGTGCCCTGGCATGGTGAACACCTGGAAGTTTATCAATAAATTCAATAGATGTTTCCTCGTGTGCCTTTTTTGTGCTGGCCTCAAGAAACAAGCCACCCCACCGCCGCCACACAATGCCACACGAGGCCACGAACTGGCACTTATATAATCGCGTAAACCGCGCGGCTCCGTGCGCTCGCCACCGAACTTGCTGAGGTCAAAGGCCGGAAGGAACCGACCGTGGTCTATGAGGCCCGGAGCGACGGACAGGAAGAGCACAGTGTACAGACCCCGGGGTGTGGGAACAAAGGAGGAATGGTGGTTACTTTTGTAGACCCGTTTTGGACAGGCCGTTCGCCAAGGCTTGGACTCTGGACTGTTGTTCGTTTCATGTGAAGGACTTATAAGTATCAATGTGAAACGGTTTCACTCGATGGACTCCGTTCTTCTCTCGGGTGCATCGGGGTGTCATCCACTTCGTGATGTGATCGGCGGATGGGTTTCGTGGTTTTCACCTCGCCTCCGCCAGTTGATGGGTTCCTTGGAGCCAGGCGGGTGGGCGGCCGGGATGTCCGGGAATCCGAGATGGGAGGTTTGCGCGATTTGTTTGCAGAACGGTGAAGGGTGTTGAATTTTTACATCCATGTAGCCATGTACATGTACATCATACGGAAAAAAACAATGGACAGGGTACCGTAATGTATCGTACAACAATGTACGACATACTACGACATGTACTCATGTATTGAATTCATACCACAGGAATCTAGAGGATAATTTTGGTTTGTTTTTTTCCGAGATGCCATTGTGCCATGATATGGACCAAATTGATCCAAAAACGCAAACAAAAACAAAAACACCGCGAGATTTCTGAAAGCTGCCAATTTTAATGTCATTTTTGTTCATTAGCTAGATTTCTCAAACCACCACTTGCCAAGCCCTTCCCAGCCCCTTCCCAAACCAAACCACAGGGTGACCATCCACAGTTTGGGTTTACATAGGATGAACCCACGCAGCGTCACTCGTTTGGACCCCAATCGACGCGCGAGGCTTTGAAAACCTGGATAATTTGCCCACTTCGCATGAGCCGCCGCCTGTAGCGCAAGATACAGATTTGGACGGCTCGCCAGGGGCCACAGTTGGGAGAAAGTGGGGCGGGTGGGGATTTCGCACCCTTGCTCATCGATGGGCGCCAGGTGTACAGGGGTGTACAGGTTTCGATATTGGCACTGGAGAACTGTTGTTTGGCCCAACTTTCTGGGCTATCTTAATTCGTACAAGTGTCACGTTGCACACAGGTGAATGCGTTTCCCTTCCATTCGGGTTCGGAGACGGGACAGGTATGAAACCGAAGATGACATGATCAAGACCTTCAGCAGGTGAGAGCCGGATGTGGGGGTGGATGTTCGGGATGTTGTCCTGTTTTTTCAGCATGTGTGTTCACGTGTCGGTTCAATTCAATATCAATCACATGTTCACTGAATATTGAATCTGTAATATACTAAATATATACACAACTTGCACTATATAACACATGTCTATGAAATGACATTTGTCGTGGTTTCACGCCACTAGACTCCCAAAAGGATGACACAAACAAATGGTGAAAACCACCAAACAACAAATGCACAGACCGACCAAATGTTTGGTCCACAAACTTGTAGGTGAAGCAAGAGTTAAAGGCTACTTGGTTTGGGGTTCACCCTGAAGAAGAGGCCAACTCACTGACGATGTGCTGGCAGGAGCAGCAAAGACACCAAAGGGACGAGGACTACGAGGACTGAAGCTGGGAGCTCGTGTCTTTAGTTTTAGGTTTTGGGATGTGTTTTTTTGGCTATATAGGCTATATATTATATATACGTGCACAGAAGAAAAGGAAGGAAGGAATCGACAGAATCGAGGGAAGCGAAGGAAACGCCGTGAAACGCCCGTTCCGTCGGATTCCGTCGGATGCGTTTTCGCACCGGTGCGGCAGACCGGTGTCGACCGTCCTTGGGGAGCCTAAGGGTCCAAAAGAACCCTCCAAGCAACGGCCAAGCGGAGCGAATTCTTCGTGCAAATTCGATGTTTGGGTGAACTTCATATTGATGAGAGCCGTCTGAACACTTTGGGGGTTCGCCCAAACACCAAACACATCCCATGTGTTTTTTGTTTTTCGTTTCCCTCCACCACTCAGTCGCCGCTTGGAGGAAGAGCAATGCCTCACGTGTCTCAGAGTGCTTCCTTCAGAAGACTCCCTCCCAGGCAGCACTCGAGGCATTGGAAGAGTCCAGGCACTGCTGGGAGGGTTTCGGGCATTGGGGGCAGTCGGCGCCCACCGACTGGGAAAAGATAGACCTGTTTCAAGCTTCATCATAAAACTATGTAACAAGAAGCTACTAATAGCAGGAAGCTAGTAGGTTGGAGGCCATGGCTAGTAGGTTGAAGGTCATTGTTACTTAGTAACAAGAAGCTACTATAGTTTGGAATGAGTGTCTTCATTCTTTCGGACCCGTGAGTGGATTGAGGACCAATGAGAGATATTTACCTTGTAGCTGGGAACTTGTAAACACGAATTGAAGAGTCTTCGGAAAGAACATAGGACCTGTGAGGTCATCGCCAGCCCAGGCAGAGCCTCAGCAAACTGACGAGTTTCAACTGGACGGAGGCCGGCGTGTGAGGCGGGTTTTTCTCGGGCTGCGGGAGTGGCTGCGGGCGCTGTGAGGTCTACAAGCAGAAGACGGAGGCACACAAAGCAACGCGAAGAAGTCGACAACCCGGTGGTATCAGCAGCTTGGCGTCTTTGCAATAGCAAGTCAGCAAGTCGCTTGGATTTTCTCACCTTTTTGCTGTGGGGGCAGGAGAACCCCGGGTCTTGCCGTGGCTCATGTCACAATGGTGCATGCTTTGGTTGGTGGTACTGACAGATGTTGTTTTGCGGTCATTTATATGTATGCCCTTTTAGGAGGAAATAGGTCCCGGTCCCACATCCTGGCCAATCAGTCTTCTGTTTCGTCCCAGCCGCCCTGGAGTTCCACCTACCGTGCTTGGCACAATCGATGAGGTCCAATTACTATGCTGTAGCTTATCATTGGATTTGTCTTGCAAACGTTATGCCCGACCAGCACATTGCAGTGTTCTTTGTTCTTTTACTTATGAGCTTTGACAGTTGATTCTGCAGGTTTGTTGACCTGTGTCAAGCGTGGAAATCAGAAATCCATGATTAACCATGATCTCCAATCTCCAGTTGGCGGTGGCAATTGCCTATTGCCTCCAGAATTATGCACCAACAAGATCAAACGGTTTGGCTTCCAACAAAAAGGATAGCTGATGGTATTGTTTGGTAAGCTCACGAGGTACCATGAGAAGTGTGTTTTTGTTGCCTGCCCTGCATCGAGCTTTTCCCGAAGCATGGACGAAATGGACGAACGACGCCAACAAAGCTCAAACAAAAGATTCACCCAATTCTTGAGCTAAGGAGGGTCATGTTGGCTTGGTCATTGCTTATGTTTATTTCCCCTGGTGCGTAAATCCTGTCGGACAGACCAGCCCCAGCTATATAACTTGTTCTTGATGGGCCGCAAAATCCATGTCGGCACCCTCAGGCAATCCTTGCTCGCCGATGCCACGGAGCATCACCTCGCGATCGGTCATCAAAAACGTGGGGGGGCCCAGTGCCCGCTGGGAGTCCGAATCCCTAAAACAGTCCTCGGAGTCTGAATTTGTTTGGGTCTTGGAGCTTGGGAGCTTGGGATGGGAACTGCCTTTGGTATCCTTTGGTCGTATCCACCAGGTTCACCTGAAGTGCCAATGTGTTCTTCGACCACGCATGTGCGCGCGTTTGGTCCGAGGTCACCTTGGTCGAACACCGAAGGTATAACTTTGACACTTTGACACATCGTTTGCAATGATTCGGGGAAGGAACCTGTAGAATTGAGACACCCCAAACAAGACTTCCTCAGACAGGCAATTAAGATATCAATTTGTGATCTTCTTGAGGCCAATTGGTGATCTTCATGGGCTGCACGCGGAGAACATGCGCATGTCATATCCAAAATCCACGTACAAAGCAGCCAAGCAGAGGCCGTGGTGCCTCAGGGTGATGTGTTTCCAAGCCAACCTTCCCCCAAGTGAGGGTGTTACCAAGCCAGTTACCTCAGCCTAGCCCAGCCACCACCAGCAATTCGACGTGACTCAGTTCACCTCTTTGGATCCTCCTGACAATGACAAGCTCCTCGAGCTCTCAAGGCCGCTGGGGCCGTTTGGGCGTTTGGGCAGCGGCCGGGCAGGGCAGAGTCTTCATGAAAACGGTATACCGGGCAGGACATTCGATGCGGATCACCTTGATGACCATTTTGGCCTAGTCACTTTTGGTCTCTATTTTTGAGTCAAAGCCTATCTCATTCTTTTTGAATATAAGAGCAAGTTGGTTTGAAATGGGTGTTCGAGTTTGGGGCCGCAATGTTGCTTTTCGGGTGCATGCCATCCCTGTCTTTCTTCTGAAGACGTTTGGAGCTATATATGCATAGGAATACCCTTTGTGGGGTCGGCCTAGTTGACGATGTTATGAATCACGTCCATTTGTCGATTTCATTATTGCTATTTCAAGTCCATGACCATGTCCCGGCCAGAAGTTGTGCTTGTCTGCAGGCGCTACGAGGAGTGTTTGGAACTCTGTCAGGTGCCGCCTGCAGCTGGTGTTGGCATATCTGAATTTGCCAAGGAGATTCCAGGGGTGCCCCTTCCTGCGTTTGACTTGAAATGGGAACGGTGAAACGTTGTAAAGGTATGCTCTGACTCACTAACATTTTTGTTGTGCGGGGTTTCCATATTTTTTGGGGGCAGGCAATCTGGAGAATGAAGGATCAATTATGGCTCATACCCTGCAAATTCTTTTTGGGGACTTGTTTGTCTCAATGAAATCCAACAGGTGGAAAAGGTCAAGCTTTATCTTCCAGCAAAACTGAGGTCAGGGTCTATTTATTGTTGAGCTTCGCACACTGGTGAGGCCATAAGGCTTAGATTATGTTGTGTGTGCGCATGTCAATGTGCGTGAAGAATACCATTCTTACGAAAGGTAGCAGCTAGCCGGTAGGCTTTGCTGAATATGTGAAGCTAGTTTCTGCGAACAACGTGAGCTGCCCAGGGTGAGGGTGCAGGCAAAACTGAGCAAAGCCCAGGAAACCTGATTGTGTTTAAATACTTTGTGTTCAGTCAATTTTGGGCTTACGTTGGTGATGCATCACATGCGAGTCTCAACTGTTGCGGCATCAGGCGGTTGCTGTAGGGGTACTAGGTCTAAGAACAAACTCAAATGAAACATACTTCCCGCACAGCTCACTGGTGTACCAACCCCGTGCTAAGGATTTAGTTTATGCTAAGTGTTTTGCATGCATAACATTCCCCACAATGTCTTGCACGCTGCACAAATATCTAAAGAGTTCCTTTCCAAGCAAGTTGCCCTGTGTGTTACAGAGCCTGGTTGAATCGAGGGTGGAATATCGCCACGAATTTCCCGGTTTGCAGCATTTTCTGCAATGTCCGGGGCAGAGGCACTTCTGAAAAACGTGCAGTTCAACATGGAACAATAATGTGTGAACAAGCGACATTTTTGAACAAAGCCAAGTCTGGTTAAATTAAGGGCTATGACCCGAGAAATCTATCTGACAATTGAATCGTCCGAGCTGTTGCTTTCAGAGGTGGTGCTATTTACCGTCTTTGTCTACAGTCTTTGCGCTAGAGTCCGCAAATAGCACGTGTTTAGATTCATAGGGAGCTATACACAACGGGGCGACATGACCTCACCATGGAAATTCCACACCGGGATGCCCTCAGTGTCTTGCATCCCTGGTCAATAGAACCCAGAGGCACCTTGAAGTTTTGTCGGGATCACGCTTTTTGCGACTCCTCACGACAGCGACAGGCCGGCCTGTTGCAAGAGGCCGCTGAGCTCATCGAGGTGCCACCAATGAGCTTTCCGAAATCAGGGAGATGTCATCTGTCCTAGAGTCTTGGGGCTTGGTTTCCCTATTAATATCTATTAATTAAATGGCACCGCATGGAAGAAAACCTGGTTTTGATCTAAATAAGACTGCTTTCCTTCGAGTGATCCCCACCATGACATTTCAATCTGACAAATTTTCTGGGATGTATCGAACCCATAGTTTGGCATTCTTTCTAGCATCTTCTGACATTCATTCTGGCATATCTTCTGACATGCTTTCTGGCTTATCTCCTGACAGTCTTTCTGCCATGGCATATCTTCTGACATTCTTTCTGGCGTATCTTCTGACATTCTTTCTGGCATATCTTCTGACATTCTTTCTGGCATATCTTCTGCCACTCTGGCATATCTTCTGACATTCTTTCTTCTGACACTCTTCACTCACTAACAGCCGAAGCTCGCGGTTGAGGTCCGGCGGGCGAACACTGCCGTCCAGAGCTGGCGGTTGAGGTCCGGCGGGAACACTTCCATCCGGAGCTCATGGTTGAGGTCTGGCGGGGAACACTGCCGTCCGGAGCCGGAGCTGGTGGTTGAGGTCAGGCGGGGAACACTGCCGTCCGGAGCTGGCGGTTGAGGTGCGGCGGGGAACACTGCCGTCCGGAGCTGCGGTTGAGGTGCGGCGGAGAACGCTTCGTGACAGTTGAGATCTGGCGGGGAATACTGCCCTCCGGAGCTGGCGGTTGAGGTCCGGCGGGGAACACTGCCATCTGGAGCGTCGTGACGGTTGAGGTCCGGCGGGGACACTGTTGTCCGGAGCTGGCGGTTGACGGGGAACGCAGTCCGGAGCTGGCGGTTGTGGTCCGGCGGGGAACACTGCCATCCTACACTTGTGGTTGAGGTCTGGCAGGGAACTGCCATCCTACTCTTGCGGCTCAGGTCCGGCAGAGAACACTGAGACTGCCATCCTGCCCCTGCTCATCTTGATGGTCTCGACAGGGAAGTCCAAGGAGCGCAGGTGGTCAAGGAACCGGCGAAAGGGTCCATAGCCGGACAAGAAGGCGCTGGCGCCGGGATCCAACATCACACACTCTGGCCGTTCAGCTCCGGTGGAGTCCTGGAAGATGAGTAGTGCACTCTCTTCAACTGTCGAGGTCATAGCCACTGCTTCAGTGGTAGATGCAGGGCGCTTGACCGCTGGTGATCTGGCTGAAGGGCTCGTGGACGATTGAGGGCAGTTTGCAGCCCAGTGACCCACCTGACCACAGCGAAGACAGGTCATGTTGGCCTTCGCACGTCCCTTGGGGTCAGATTTTCCAGCTCCTTGTGGTGGGTAGCGAATGAGGCCGAGGAGAGGAGAGAAGAGAGGAGAGGAGAGGAGAGGAGAGGAGGGGAGAGGAGGAGGAGGAGGAGAAGCACGGCAGCTTACATAAAATCTAACGACCCTCACCTGACAGGTGGGGAGTAAAGCCATGGCGTGACAAGTGAAGGTCCAAGTGGTGATGCCGGTGATGGCAGGATTCAACACGATGTACCCCCCAAACAAAAGCTGGAGCAGGTGATGAAATCGCGAAGACCATCTCCCAACATAGAACCTATTTGACCGATGTCTTGATAGGAAAATACTATTGGCTCCAAAACAGGGGACGCTCAGGTTCCAGGTGTATGTTGTTAGGCTTCATTTAACCTCCCAAGTCTCACTGCGTCATTAAACATGCGTGACCAATAACTTGATTGACTCCTTGCTCGCCACGTGTATGTCGTAGTCTCGTCACGTCGTAAGGGTGTTTTTCCAGCAGAAAATAGTTCAAATAGATGCACTGGAGATGTCTTCATATCTCCTCAGCCTAGGTCCTTGGACATGCGAGGACTCGAGGAAACCAGCATTGATTACCCTGGATTGTTGATTGTCCTTGTTCTGTTCTCTATGGATATCCGATGACTGACTCACTGGCACACACACACACAGAGACCCCATCCATGTGCGTTTTTGGCTGCAACATGTGCAGTTCCACCGGTCCAGTGCGCTCCGACTGCCAGATGCTGCTGGTGGACTTCCCACAAGATAAACCGACGATCATGCTGCAAGAGAAGTTCCTATGTGATCAGGCCCAATTTGGGCAGTGCGTGACCTCACAGGATTTTAGGTTTCGACACGAATCAGTAAAACAACAGTAAAACAATGTAAAACATGTTGATGCGGTTCATGCTTGATGGACGGTCCCTTTTCTTCGTGATTCAAAGCCGTTGGTCTAAACTGCAGGGAGCGCCGGATAAGAGAAGTTGCCCCATGTATTCCGACCTGAAAGGACCTGAATCGTTCTATTTTGTGGGAGAAGGTCCGACGATTGGGTCTTTCTCTCACAAGGATCCTGTGAATCTGTCTTGTGACAATTCACACTGAAAACTACGAATTGTCCCTACCAAGAGGGAGCCACAAATGCGCGTGTTTTTGGGGAGGGCACTCGTCAAATGCAATACTGATCGACAGTACATGCTGGCACGGGGCAGTTTTGAGTTTGTCAATTCTTACACCAGTCAGTCATGGTCTTTTGTAGCTGTTAAGTACAATTGGAACCGTTGTTTCTTAATGACTTAATGAAGTGGTTTTCCTCCACCTAAACGTGATTCAGCAGACCGAATGACAATGACTAGGCAGGAGCTCGTTGGCAAAAGCTCTTTGTACTGAGTAGTGGGTATGGAGTCAAAGATGTTTTAGCTCAATGAGTTCCTTTGTGTTCTTTTGCCCAACTTGGTACGGAAAGGCGATGAAGGACCTGATCACACAGGTCTGTCCGTGAGTCTAGATAGTTCCTATCCCCCCCGCCAGTTGTTGCCAGGGTGGAGGGGAGAAAGAGAAAAATCGCGCCAGGAAAACTTGATATAGATCCCCAGCAATCAGAGCGCAACATCAAAGTCTATTCTGTCCAGCAATTCGTTCCTTCCCCTTTTTTCACCATTTGAGCCACAACCAACGGCTTGGATTTGTGGTGCTCAGAGATTCTACTGTGAAGCATTTGAACCAACAGCTTCTGACCGCGCGCTCCACCGGAGCTGTCCGCAGGCAGAGCCCAGCAACATGAAGGACTTCTCGCCGATTTCGATTCCACGAAGCGAACGTCGCCGGTTTTGGGAGGAACCTGAAAGAAAAGACTGCTTGGCCACGGCTAGAAACCATGTAGACATGGACACCATTCCGTGGACATATGGTCACATGTTTTTCGGGTGGGTGGTATAGGGACATGTGGGTCACTCTCTATACATGACTGTTCAACCTCTCGGTTTCTATTTTCAGTTCGTGAAACCAGCGTTTTCACGCCTTTGCCATTTTGGCGAGAAGCTGTGGCCAGGTCAAAATAACGGCAAGCCTTTTCAGGTAGGGCCTGCGCCATGGCTTGGAATGGTGGTGAGGCAGTTTGCCGGAAGCCAAAGGCTAAGCCACCCGCAGCCTTGAGGAGGCAGGTGTTCAATGATTGAACCTCTGGGCGAATGGATGAGACCTCATCCAACAGTTCGTGGACACGGGCGGACGATTTGAGAAGAATTGCGCCTCAGCTGTTCGCGTTAGCTCAGGATGGTGCTCCACAGTTCCACCACCAGCTCCTCCTGCTCACTCAGCATCAAGCCAATCGGCAGCTCCTGTGCTCCAAGCTGCTCAGAGCTTCTTGGACGCGGTCGCAGAGCCTTTCGGTGGGGCAATATGACGCCTCCAGATCTGAGGCAAACCCCCCTCAACCCTGCACTGCCTGAGCACTTATCAGTTCTGAAGTGCAGAGATGCCTGGCTGGCCTGAAGGATTTTGCATAAAAGGGCAAGCAGCTCAAAGTAGAAAAAGCCACAGACTTGCTCATTGAAGCAGCTTTGGCCATCAAAAGGTCCAAGACATCAAAGTGGGTCATACCAGGGCCTTGCCTAAAGGCTAAAGGGCTCTTTGGCCACATGGCTTCTTTAGTGCAAAAGGGCTTCTTGACAGCAAAGACTTTTTGCACAGCATGTAGCAGCTGGAGCAGGTAGTCACGTCCTTGGTGGGGCCTGCCCATGGGCTCTTGGGAATCCCATCTGCTGCTGCACCCTGCCAAGAAAGGGCCCTAGCCATTTGGGTCTTGTGAAGAGGCCTTTGGTGTAGGAACATGAGAAAATGGCACAGGTCTAAGCATGAAGAGTTTGAGCAGGTGGAGGAAAGGGAGATGTCTCCATTGGGCATGTGCCTTTTGCAAACACTTTGCAAATGGTCTGTCTGCGCTTTGCATGCATGTGTTTGGGTGTGTTTGCCTGCTTCTGCATGTTTGGGCCCATCAGCCCAAGTCAGGGATTGCCCCACCGGATGTGCAAGAAATAGCATCTATGGGGGCCTATGGTCACAGTGCCAACCACATATCAGCGCAGCTGATGTCAACATATTGCAAAGAATTGTGGCTTGACATGTGAAGCATTGGACACTCTGCCCCACTTGTATCTGCCGTGTAGCTTTAAACTGTGGAACCCTTGTCCTTGCCTGCCACTGGGCCTGCATGAGGACGCAGGAGCTTTTCAGAAAAGTGATGCCATGCACATATTGAGTTTCAGAAGCCTACTGAGCAGTCTCAATGTTGCATGGTGGCGTTGCCCAAAGGGTGTTTAAACAATGGCACTAAAAAGGAGGTCTGAGAGTTTATGAGATGGAGTTTCAATCCAGTCTTCTCATGCAAGTTTCCTGATCTTGACCACAGAAGGCAGCCTTGGGCACCAGGATCTTGGAGCTCCAGGATGGCTGGGCAACTCTGGGGTACCTAGAGTTTGGGTTGAATGGTGGCAGCATGGAGCAATGTTGCTTCAACTGTGGAGCCAACAAGAGCGCAGTACCATTCGGAATGCCCTGTCGAAAGAAACAGTGATCCATCACTCTGGTACCTGTCCAACAGAACATGAGATCTCTCACATACCTGGAGTTGGTGGAGAAACCGTCAAGTATGATCTCTTACATGTGATAGAAGAGGGAGTTGCTGAGAACAACGTTGCGGCAAACATTTGCTTTGACCTACTGGTTCGCACAGGAACTTTGGAGGGTAATCCATCCTGAGAAGAGGCTTCAGACAATCACTGCAATATATTGAGCAAGGTGCTGAGGCTTCAAACAAATCAGAAGACATCAGAAGACTGACATTATCAACGTTCTGCAATGCTCACACGACTGGTGACAGGTCGGATGGAAGACAGTTTGTGCTGTGTGGCCCAGAACGCTCCTTCGTGACCGCAGGGTGTTAGGCTGTGTCTTGATGGGGGGGCCTGGGTTCGGTGGAGCGAATCCCTGAATTTTTGTTCTGTGTGTGACATGTGTGTGTTCAACCTGGTTCCTGAGTAGGGCTCGTGGAGAGAACCTAGTGAAGAGGCTTTCCCTGCTGTGAAACCTTTGGGTGTTCGCTCCTCTCTCACCTTTGTCAGATAGGTCAATCGGGGGCTATGACCCCATGCCCATGGCTACCCGGTAGAAAAAACTGTCCTGCTACCATGGAGCCATGGAGTCAACTATATCGATTGAGGGTTGAACAAGCCTCCAACTGGATCAGCAGTCATGCTGTGAGTATCCAAGACTACTGTTTCCATTGCTGACTAAATTCCTTGGTACCCTTTAGCCTTTTGGAGTTGAGTCACACAAACCGCAGAACTGGAAACGTTTGTTCCACCGTGCCGGAGAGTTTCCGGCTGCTTTGGTTGTTTCAGAGAATTGGATTTTGTTTGCTCCAGGGGCCCATTAATATGATAACAGTGCCTTGGAAGAAGATTGCTCAGAGACTGTCCGATTTTGGGGGAGGATGCTGCCTGTCACGTCATGGGCGGTGGTTTTTCAACATGAATTAGGGGTTGGCAGGAGACGTGAATCAAACCAGGTGGAGACACCTCAATGTTCGACTTCGAAGATATGCAGGAACAAAGATACTAGTATTGTCCTTGCTACTACTGTAGTAGCGATGCACTTAGCGATGCACTTGTTACATCTTGCATCGTTTTGGGTTCACGTATTTGTTGATGCATCCGATGGGCTGCGTCATTCTGTTTCGTTGGTTTGTCCGGTTTGTCCGCCTTTCTCGAGGATGTCGTATATGTGCTTCGACCACCTCAACAGCAGCGATCCGGTGATATCCGGTGATGTTTGGTATTTTGTTGTCCCAATTGTAGGTTTGGTTTGCCCAGTAGCTGCAGTATATGGTGCAGTAGTTCATGCAGTTTTCTCCAAACCCAAGCAATGTTGATGGCATTATATATTCATTATTCGATCAATTTTTTGAGTTTTTTTTGTACTTAATCGAAGCAGGATTTTGAATGCAAACATGTGTCATTGGTCGGCCACTGGCACGAAGGCACAGACTGCCCTGTCGGCCACCGTCGTTTCACTGACGAAAACGCCGAAGAATCGAAACGGTCGACCGGTCAAACGGGTCGACCGGTGTGGCGGCATGGAGTGCGGTCCTCGCTGAGGTCATGAATGAAAAAAATTGACGTTGCGGACAGCAAGGCTAAGTGTTGTGAGATGCTGTGAGCGTCCTTTTGAGGCATTGCCTTCCCTGAGTTTGAAACTATAGAACTAAGAAAGTAACATGTAGTAATTATTATAATAATTATACCTAGACCCCACAAAAGACGTCACGTTTGTTTTCCGGTGGGGGCCATTTTCAGGCCAAATTCAAAAACCAACACAACAAAGAATTTTGGTGTCGATTGTTCTTACTTTTGCGCGTTGTGTTTTGTCATGTTTACCTATCGCGAACTTGCATTTTTCTGCGTCATGTTTTCCGACGAGACGGAAAAACACCTGTTTTTAGGGGAAAGGTATATGTATAAATAAATGTATATTATATAATACAGGACAATATGTATATATACTATATATATATTATTCCGGGAGTCGGGAAGGTTGAAGACGACTGTAGAGATTGTTTTACTTCTATTTGGGGTGCACGGACCATCACAGAACCAGCAAGGGGTCTTGCGCACAAAGAAATGCATGCTGATACATAGTGATATCACTGCGAACAAAGATCATGATGAAATGTTAGGGCCTCATTGGTTGATTCAGGTTGCAAACAAGAGCAAGAGTCAGAGGGTCAAGAGAAAGCTTTGGCGGAGTCAACCCAAATAAGGGCTGCACTAGGTGCGTGGGGATCTTCGATCCCAGCTGCCACATGCCCTCCAAAACGGATCTCAAGAGAGTTTCACATCCAGTGGTCACACCTAGAGTGGAGTAATTAGCTTCAACCTTGACAGGTGACTTGATACAGCTCCATCTCCCGCCAAAAATGATAATCTTCAAGTGTTTGCGAATTTGTGTGGCCGCTCCCGGACCCTCTCATACCAGCATTGTATGGGTCCCTACATGCCAGAGATGGGCGGGTTTTCCCCCACGGAGGAGTTCCAAACAACAGAGTCCTGCTTTTTTCCCCGGCTCACCCCCAGCGGAGGTGCCGACAAGGCCGGCTGGACGCTTACGTGTTTTATTTTGTGCTGGAAAGTTCCAGAGGACACACGTCTTTTGCAGGGAGAATTCTGAGATAATTTTCAGGTTTAGTCATGTGAGATACCTGGATATGTGGATATGGCGAAAAGTCCTGGGCAAGACTTGCTCTTGAAGTTGCCCTCTTGAAGTTGTCCAGCAAATAGCATTTTCAACCAATTCGACCATACCCTGCAGAGTGCAGGCGGCATGGACAAATCTCAAACTAATTGAGGTTTGGGCAGTTGGTTATGCTGATTTGACGATCAGCATTCCCGTGCATTCACCAAACTGCGGAAAGACAAAAAGAGGGCTTTTGGATGGCTGGTGCTGTTGGCGCGGGAAGGGGTGTGGATGCTCAAAGACTGTCAAGGACGATAGATATTGGATATCGATAGATTCCTCAGATGTTTGCGTGCTTTCAGGAAAAGGATAGAATCCGAGGTAAGAGAGGAATTGAAGCATCTTCGATTACGTAATGTTTGAGAATTGGTTGGCCAACGGAATGTCCGAATCGTCCAACACGACACGAATCTTCCGGTTGCAATCGTGTCAAGCAGAATTTTGCCTAGGAAACTTGGCATTGGAAGGATCAAATTGACACAAGTTGATCGAATTCCACGCTCATTGGTGGGTTTCAGGGGCGTCATGAGCGTGGATGATCGAGATCCGAACGAACCTGAATGATGTTGTGCGATTTGGGAGGCTCAGTTGGCTCAAGAACATCACTCGCAGCCGGCGTTTCAGGGTTTTAAGATAATCTCTTGATGTTCAATACTTGATATCTCCTACCCAGACAGTGGATAACCTGCAAACCCTTCTTTTGGAACTTGCTTTTCCCACTCAAAACCAATAGGTGGAACGTTCGAAAACATGCCAGTTCTTTCCGATCAAAACCACTCCGGGGATCAGGGTCTATTCATCAATGTTCCCACAGTGATGCTTTCTGGCACAGAGTGACACCATCCAGTTAGCCCTCGCTGTGTTTGTTTCCACTACTTGAGGGTCAAAACCCTCCAACTTACATTCATGGCATGGTGGATATGGCGCCCAAGAATACATGACCCTCACCCTTCTGAACGACTGTCGCTCGCACGATGGCCCTCTGAAAGAGGGTGGCGACTTCCGAGGTCCCTCTTGGGCGAAACGGAGAGGAGGATGATCCAAGGTCCGATGAAGGGGATGGGAGAGATCCACGGCCACAGTCGCTTAGGGTTAATCTAAGATACCCTAATAACATCTAATAACTATATATTTCTATATCCGCGTGAAGCAGATTCTTTTCTTTTTATTGTACCTGTATTTGTCTTAGGTCCTTGGAATGTTCTTTATATAATTATGGTTATTTCGAGGAAACCTAGTTCTTGGGGCAGGCGGCGGACATTTCTGTAGTGTGGGACTTTGGGGTCTTGGAGAGAAGTGGAGGAATCACCAACAGTGACGCTATCATCAAAAGCGAAGCAGCACAACGCTTTGCAAACAGAATGTTGCATTTTCTCAGTTAAAACCACGAACAAAAATAAGGATATTGGCTGAAATGAATTGAGTTTTACGAAACGATGGTAGTAGTTCCACATACTCAGGTGTCAGATAGACATCTACATACTCAGGTGTCAGATAGATATAGTAGACAGAGAAACGTATAGTATGGTATCATATGTTTTTGGTGACACGGATTCTCACAACCGTGGAGGCGTTCACATGTTTGTTGTTTCTTGTACATGTATACGACATGTCTAAGTAGTTGGGGTGGGGTGGGGTGGGGCATGTTAACGTTCATGTGCACTTGCGTGGGATGTTGATGCTATGGGTTATGTTAACGTTCATGTTAACTGGGGTTGGCATAAACACAAGAGGCGGTGCACATGCCCACATATGCTTTGTATGATGGTCAAATTGTTCTCACATTGAACAGGACGCTTTTTTCTTGGCGACCAGAGGTTTCATTTTCAGTTCATGACATCTTTTGAGTTGGTCGACCGGCAAATACCTGTTGATACCAACTTTGGGCAAGCCGGATGCATGGTGCAAGTTTGGCACTTCTTTGGAAAACACTCTTTCTTTTCCCATGTTCCCGTTTCCCGACTTGTCGTTTGCATAACGGAGAACCGGTATGTCGTTACAAAGCAATGAAAAAGAACATCCATCTCTATGGATCTCGGTTCGTTGCAGACCATGTTCAGAGTTCCTGGACCGTCCCGGACCGTCCCGGAACCGTTCTGCGTCCCGGACATGTCACACATCGATCCACGATCTAGGTATAGTTTCCGCTGTGCCACTGGAACCGGAAGCCTCAGCTGACTGACCGAAAGCCTCGGCGAGTAAAAAGCCGAGTGCTGCGGGGCACTGAAGTTGTCACCTTGAATGCAAAGTGTTGATGTTGGGGAGCCACCTTTGTTGGGTCTTTGCACTCAAGACTCAAGAGAGCACCCTGCCCCCGATAACATATGGGATCCCATGACTTTTCCAGTACTCAAGTAGCAGAGTCTTCCTGTGATTGTTTTAATGAATGATTCGCCTGCACCCTCCGTTGGGTCAAAAGCACTCGTTCGCTTCTTTGCATCCTCTGCCCTGCGACGAGGCTGGCAAACGTCGCCATTTAGATTGAAACGTAGTCATTGCCAAACCATGACTTTGCATCGAACACATGGAACTGCAAGAAGTGCTTCAAGGCAGGACTAGTGGCCAATCGATCGAAAGCAGCCTGTGATTGAGAAAGGCAGAGAAAGGCATACGGCATACCTATAAGATAACATATGTATGGATATATATATACAGTATATGTACTATATATACTCCGTTGACCCCCACGACAGTTAGTCGGAGCCATCCGAAATTCGACAGGGCTGCTGCTTCCTTCTTCGCCGAATCTGGCCCCGTTTCCGTTTTTCACCTGTAAGAGCCAAGAGTTAAACATGGTTTGGAGATCCTGTTTGAAGCGAACGAAGATCGATGTTCAATACCGATCGCCGGTCGAATCCAACGGCCAATTCACATCTTGCCGCCATGTGTCCAGCAGCGGTTCCTCAAACAGATGAGAAGCTCTGCTTGAAAAGCCTTGGAGAATCTCTTCGATGAGAAGGGTCAACTCAAGGCCGGGCAGAGGAGAAGCACATCCGCCGGATATGAAATTACACCCCGAATCTCGGGGGTCAGAGAGGCAGCTAGTGACCGAGAAGCATCTCCATGTGACACCTAGCGGAACTGCTTGAGAAACCATCAGCGAGCAAGACAAAGAGAGAGAGAGAGAGAGACAGATAGAGAGCGAGAGAGGGAGAGGCAAAAAGATCTTAAGTTAAGAATTGACAACAAATAAAACGAGCCAAATAGTATAAAGAATAGTATAATATATATATATTAAATAGAGACTATGAACATCTCAAGAAATCTTAACAATATACTTACTACCGGCTTCCCACATGTTTCCTGCTCCAACACCGGATCTGGGCCAAGCTGGGCCAAGCACGAAAAAACTCACCCGACTCCCAGTGGTTCAAGCGTTTGGTCAAACGCTTCTTGCTACTATAGTAACAAGTGCATCGCTGCACTAGCAACAAGGGTATTACTAGTAGTAACAAATAGCTACTAGGTGGGAGGCCATCGCCACTAGGGTGGAGGCCATCACCACTAGGGTGGAGGACATTGCTAGTAGGTTGGAGGCCATTACTACTATACTAGTAGCAAATAGCTACTAGTAGCAAGAGAAGTGTTTGGGCACCCCGCTCCAGTGAGTGGATGTCACACAAGAAATCCTTTTTCGACGCACCTCCATGTGTTTGGCACCTAACTCCATGGAACTGCTCGTGGTTTCCATGTCGGGGGTCACCCTTTGCAGAGCCAAAACCATTCCTTCTCCCCTCACTCCGACATGGGAGTCAAAACCATTCCGACATGGAACTGGTGCCCACTCACGTGGTGCCGACTTGGGATCTCGCCCGGTTTCGCCCACAGGTGGACCGGACCGCGCCCGGCTCGCGCGGCGAGTCACCGGGAGCGCTTGGTGCGATCGACCTTGAAGGCGGACGATGTGGGACGACAGGTGATGCAAAAGGGCGTAGTTTTTCTGCAGAACACTTTGAGGCCCGCGCGAGATCTCAAAGGTAAAACAAAGAAGCAAATCGCGAGTGCGAGGATCACGGAGAGTTTGGTAGGGACACGGGGCACCTACGAATATGTTCCCAGTTTGATTCGATGGAGTTTTTCAGGTGTCAGCATAGAGTTCCAAACTGGCATTGACAAGGAGAAACCAAACACGAAAAGGAGAGGAAGGAATGAACGAACCACAGAAACCACTAAGTCGACCAAAGTTGAAGTCGGTCAAGGTGCTAGCGTGCTTGAAAGGGTGTACCTTGATTCCCTTTGAAGGGCGCTGTTCTTGTTTGCAGTTGTTTTGTATCACGGTTTTTCTTTGGGTCGTTTTTTCTTGTGGTGATGTGGTTTCATGATGAAGATTTCATAGGAGTTCTTGTTTGATATCTTTATAATTCTTTATATATATAACTGTTTGTATAATGCGAATATCCTGTACATAGTATTCAGATTACTTGAGGAACAAGAACGCCTTGAAGGACCTACCAACTGTGAATGTCCACCATTCGGATACCATTGAGCTTCACTCACAGTCAATCCTTCCAGTCCCTCTTACCTTTTGTGTCCAGGATGGTCCCAGGTACTTGGAATCTCATGTACCTGGTGTGAATACGCCAGGAACCGAAGCAACGAGTGTGGGGTGTCAGGCTGCCTGGAGCAAGTTCGGTCTCGAGGAGGACCCCGAGATCACCGAGTGCCTTCCGGTGACGAAAGGGCGAGGTGACGGTGCGAAACGGTATGACAAGAAAGTGTGAAACCCCAAGTTAGTCATTTGTTTGGTTAGATAAAAATACCTCACTATAGAGATACTGTGAAAAAAAAACTATAAACACAAAACAGTCCTTTACTTCGAAAAATCCCCACCATGGCAGGTCAAGGCATATCCACCATGCAGGGGTACGTAATTTGTTTCGTCTGCAACATCGCAAAGCAAGTCTGTCTCATTGCCCGCAGCT